ACTTTAACTATTGACTTGTACCCAGAGAACAAATTGTTCAATTGAAATTGGAATTTTTATATGTTATAAAATAAAATAAAAACTTATTTTTTAAAAAATAGTTTTCTGAATGTCAGAGTGCCAGCGTCTGGATTTCTGAGTGGGTATCGTTCCAAAGGGCAGGCATGGGTTCTGAGAAGGCACGTGAGAGAAATATGAATTATTCCTGTAAAAAGCATAACCTGAGTAACGCCATTTTAAACGCCATGTTTTACCTGATATACCCTGATTATATAAGGTGGTAGTGAGGACATGAGAAAGGAAACTGTGTTATTCCTGTGATGCTTATTTTGTAGGATATGTGCTGCATATTTTTGAGGAAATGGATGTTCTGGTAAAATTCCGAAATGGGTCTGTCTGGGGCCTAGCCATTCCAGAAGGGGAAGTCCACAAATGACGATACCATTTAGCATGGAAACATCTGTGTAAACATCTGTGTAGGATATTTTCGAAGGGTATTGTTGGATGGGAATTTCCAGGGCGGAACATGTGCCAAATATGTTATATAAGATCTGAAACCAATTCCCTGGTGGACCATTTGTATCCGTTTGTATCGGGCTTCTTATTATTTTATTATTATTATTAATTTTATTTCTATACCGCCCTTCTCCTGAAGGACTCAGGGCGGTGTACAGCCTGATTAAAAGCACAAGACAGACAAAATTTAAAATAAATTAAAATTATTAAATGATAAGCTCAATTTAAAACCCCAAATTTAAAATCCCATTTTTAAAACCCAATTAAAATCTTTACCTTGATAGCCCAGCCTGGCGGAACAACAAGGTTTTGAGGGCACAGCGAAATACACGGAGATCAGAGATTTTACGAATTTCTGGGGGCAGCTCGTTCCAAAGGGCAGGGGCTCCCACAGAGAAGGCCCTCCCCTTGGGTGTCGCCAGCCGACATAATTTGACCAATGGCACCCTGAGGAGACCCTCTCTGTGGGAGCGGACTGGCCGGTGGGAGGCTACTGGTGGCAGAAGACGGTCTCGAAGGTATCCAGGTCCAATGCCATGGAGCGCTTTAAGGGTGGTGACCAACACCTTGAATCGCACCCGGAAGGCCACTGGGAGCCTGTGCAGCTCGCGCAGGAGGGGTGTCATGTGGGCACAATGAGTTGCGCCAATAACCACCCGCGCGGCCTCATTCTGGACCAGTTGGAGCCTCCGGGTGCTTTTCAAGGGGAGCCCCATGTAGAGAGCATTGCAGTAGTCCAGTCTGGAGGTGACAAGGGCGTGAGTGACTGTGCGCAAGGCATCACGATCCAGAAAGGGCTGCAACTGGCGGATCAGGTGAACCTGATAAAAAGCCCCCCTGGCCACGGCCGTCATATGTTCTTCTAAAGACAGCCATGCATCCAGGAGGACACCCAGATTGTGAGCCCTCTCTGTGGGGGGTAAAGACTCACCCCCAATAGTTAGCGATGGCGCTAGCTGACTATATTGCGACGCCGGGAACCACAGCCACTCAGTCTTGGAGGGGTTGAGTCTGAGCCTATTTCTCCCCATCCAGATCCGCACGGCCTCCAGGTAGTGGGACATCACATCAAGGGCATCGTTGGGGTGGTCTGGGGTGGAGATGTACAGCTGAGTATCATCAGCGTACAGATGGACTCTCACCCCAAAACCACGGATGATCTCACCCAGCGGCTTCACATAAATGTTGAACAGAAGGGGCGAGAGGACTGACCCCTACGACAATCCCTATGCAAGGCGCCTCGAAGTCGACCTCTGCCCCCCTGTCAACACAAACTTCGAGCGGTCGGAGAGGAAGGAGGAGAACCACTGCAAAACGGTGCCCCCTATTCCTAACCCCCTCAACCGCTGCAGCATGATACCATGGTCGATGGTATCAAAAGCCGCTGAGAGATCTTACAGGACCAGGACAGAGGAGCAACTCCTGTCCCGAGCCCTCCAGAGATCATCCACCAACGTGACCAATGCCATTTCAGTGCTGTACCCCTGCCTGAAGCCCGACTGGTACGGGTCCAGATAGATAGCTTCATCCGGGTGCCTGGGCAGTTGTCGTGCCACCACACTCTCAACAACCTTCGCCACAAAACGAAGGTTGGAGACCGGACGGTAGTTGGCTAATTCAGCCGGGTCCAGGGAAGGCTTCTTGAGGAGGGGCCTCACCACTGCCTCTTTCAAGGCAGCGGGAAAGGCACCCTCACGCAGAGAAGCACTTATAATCCCCTGGAGCCAGCCTCGTGTAACCTCCCGGGAGGCCAGTACCAACCAGGAGGGAAACGGGTCCAATAAACATGTGGTGGCACTAATCCTACCCAGAACCATGTCCACATCGTTGGGAACCACAGGATCAAACTCCTCCCAGATAGTGTTCTCAAGACCTACCCTCGTCTCCTCCCCCGGTCTCACCCAGTCGGAGTCCAAGCCTTCCCGAATGCGAGCAACTTTATTGTGCAGGAATTGCACAAAATCCTCAGCTCGACCCTGCAAGGGATCTTCCCGCACTCCCCCCCGAAGAAGGGAGTGGGTCACCCTAAACCGAGCGGCTGGGCGGTTCTCTGCAGATGCGATAAGAGTGGAAAAATAGTTAGATTTTGCCGCTTTTATCGCCACTAGGTAGGTCTTGATATAAGACCTCACCAGTGTCCGGTCGGAATCGGATCGACTAGTCCTCCAAATGCTCCCTAGGCATCTTTTCCAACGCTTCATCTCTCTCAGCTCCTCGAAGAACCAAGGAGCCAATTGAGGTCGGCATCGGGTCAGAGGCCGCAAAGGCACAACCCGGTCCAAAGCCCCGGCAGCCACACTCTCCCAGGCGGCCACCAGCTCTTCAGTCGAGTCGTGTGCCAGAGTCTCAGGAAATGGCCCAAGCTCCGTCAGGAACCTTTTGGGGTCCATCAGGCGCCTGGGACAGAACCATCTGATCGGTTCCGTCTCCCTGCGGTGGGGGGAAATGGCAGGAAAGTCCAAGCGAAGAAGAGAATGATCTGTCCATGACAAAGGTTTGATATCTAGGTCCCCTCTACCAAGATCATTCAACCACTGACCAGAGACGAAAATCAAGTCCAGAGTGTGTCCCCCTTTGTGAGTGGGGCCCTGAACTAATTGGGTCAGGTCCATGGCCGCCATGGAAGCCATGAACTCCCGAGCCACCTCAGACGCCTCACCTGCAGATGGCAGGTTGAAATCCCCCATGACAATAAGTCTGGGGGTGTCCACCGCCACCCCGGCGATAACGTCAAGCAGCTCATGTGGCAGGGAGCCAGGTACGTTGTCAGCAAACCCGTCTGCCTCCCACTGTCCCACTTCACGAGGAGGGACTCACAGCCGGCTATCTGAGGAACAGTGGTCTCCCTCGGACTAAGACTTTCCCTAACAATCGCCGCCACTCCCCCACCCCTCTCCTGAGCCCTTGGCTGGTGAAATGTGCAGAAACCTGGTGGGCACATTTCAACGAGGGGAACCCCCCCCTCGTGGCCCAACCAGGTCTCCGTAATACCTGCCAGGTCTGCACCCCCCTCCAAAATAAGATCACAAATGAGGGGGGCTTTGTTAACAACCGACCTGGCATTACATAACATCAGCCGCGGACCCAGGGCCTGAGGCTCTGTGCAACCCAGGACCCGAGTCGCGCATTGGGGGCCGGTGTGTGCAATCGCTCGTAGACAGCGTATGCGTACCCCCAGAACATGATGTGGTCCCCTGCACCCGTCATATCTGCCCCTCCCACTCACTGTTTCAATTGCACTGCCCTTCCCGACACTCCACTGTTTCCCAGACAAATTTCCTTCCGTGCTCCCTCTGCTGCGCCCAAGTGACCCATCATCCTGCCCGGTGGCTATATGAACCCCCCAGGTCCATCTCTACAACCCCCTCCCCTCCTCCTGGGTCCCCTTAAAATTTTCCTTAAAAGTCCCGATAAAACACCCCTCAACCCCCTCTTCGCTGCATGCCATCTCTCGGGGTCCCAAAGCCCATCATCAAGATAGGCCCTCGATAATGTGGAGGGCCAGGCCTGCGAGAGGGGGGAGTCTTGCAGTGCAAGAAGGTCAGCTTTCTGGAGCATCAACCGGATCAAGGACGGGAAAGGGAGGCCAGTCCGGGAGTCTATCATAGTCCAAAGGGATAACTGAGCATAAGAGATCATACAATATCCATTTATAGGGCTGGACTCCACTGTCCTCTCACAACAGGGAGAAGGTCCAATGTTCTTTTTTCCCCAACGGAGGCTAATAACCAACCATCCTCTCACGACAGCTGGTCCCGTTACAGGTGGTTATCGGAAATGATGTTACGTCTTCTCTGTTGGGATATAGAAAGTCCCTCAGCTCCTTCATAATGGTGCTCAGTCTCTCCTTCCGGCGAGGGTGTGAGTGGAACATGGTAAGGGGTCCAAGGTATAGCGGTTCGTAAACCGCTATACCTTCTGTATCCTGAAAACTGTATTTAAACCGTGTAATCAAAGTGGTCTGGGTTCTCTCCTACGGGAGGGAATCCTTTTGCAAAAGATTGAAATGTATATAGCTTTATATATATATTTTAATAAATCTGCTGTTTTTTCTTGTTCATGCTCTCTGTGTCACTTATTATATGGTAATGCTGATTTCTGCATTTAACAGCACGTCCCACCATTAATTGATGGACCCAAACTGTGTCTATTTGCCCAATTTTATTAGTAGTTTAATTGCACTCTGAAGTCTACTATAGCTAGTCCAATAGGCTCATATGGATATAATGAGGCACAAAAATGTTATCTTTGCTGTCACATACTGGCCTTGGTATAACCTCTGAGCGATCTTCAAGAAAGCCACATATATAACAGATTACAATAGTCCATTCATGAAATGACTAATGCATGAGTGACTGTCTGAAGGGCCATGATCCAAGTATCACAGTCAATAACTATTATATCATTCAGAATTTAGAATGTAAAAACTCCCATTTAAAACAAAAATCAAACAAGGAGTCATATTTGTCATTTTGTTCTCCCAGGTAAAGTCCAAGAAGAAATTGCAAAAGAGATTGGGGTTCGTCAGCCAAGGACAGAAGACCGAACCAAATTGCCTTATACCGATGCAGTAATTCATGAAGTTCAAAGGTTTGCTGACATTGTTCCCACCAATTTGCCCCATGCAACCACCATGGATGTAACTTTCAAAGGCTTCTTCATTCCCAAGGTGATTAGTCTGAAATCATTGCATTAGACAAGGCCTAACCTTTTTTTAAACATACAAGATTTTTTATTACTTATTTTTATTTTCTTTAAAATAGTAACAGTAACAGAAAAAGAAAAATAACAAAACAGAGACATACATTATAAAAATACACAAGAGGTTAAAAAAGTAACTGGAAAAAATACAACAGAAAAAATAATTGCAAAAGAGATAGGAGTTTCTCAGTTGCAGACAGACCACCAAGCAAAATGCCTTACATTGATGAAGTTCAAAGGTTTGCTGACATTGCTCCATCCAATTTGCCACATGCAACAATCATGGACATAACATTCAAAGGCTTTCTCATCCCCAAGGCGATCAGTCTAAAATCACTGCATTGCATAACATCTAATTTATCATGTACAGTGTGGTAGAAGAACCAGTCCTTAAATGAATGGAATGGGCTAAATCAAGTTGATCTATAGAGCTATAAGGCCACACAGCCTTTTATCCCTTTTAAAAAAACACTCATAAATGCATCTCTCTAAGTGCCAAAGGCAGATGTTTTTCTTTGATATCTGACATTCCCAAACTGCCCCCACCTCTTGATTTATGAGAAATGCTTTTCTCTCTTGATTTATTTTATTATTTATTTTATTTTGCTCTTCCCTTGTTGCTTTATATCCACTGCTTCCCTTCAGCAAGCCTTTATTATTTGCTTTGGATCCTCCATTCCGAGTTTACAAGTTTAAGGTATAATGTAAAATACAGCTTAAGACCTATTTAGAATTGGTACAACTGATAATCTATTAAACTGCCTGATGTTTTAATTTTTTGAACCTGTCCATTTCTCCGTGCACAATAATTAAATCAGTATATATATTTTCAATACAATTTTTACAATATAGTTTTAATATTTTAACATTGAATGTTGCTTCAGACCCAATAATATTTTTAAAATCACTGTAATCTATCTATATATATACAGTATATAAAAGCGAAAACCACTCACGCCGTGACCACAAAATCTCCAGAACCATAAAGCCTGCAAACTTGAAATTTGGCACGTTTGTTCCTCTTGGCTTCTACATGCTTGCTAAGAAAGGATTTTTCAAAATGACCATCAGATCATTAGTACTTCTTATATTATTATTAGCACACTGTGATGCTAATTAGTTAGACTTCTACTCCCCCTCCAACCTGAAAATAACTCTGGAGAGAAGGGGATAGGATAGGAGAGGCTTCTGTGGGGTAGTAAAATTTGTTACTACCAGTTCTGTGGGCGTGGCTTGGTGGTGGTGGGGTAATGTGACTTGGTGGGCATGGCCACCTTTTTTTTTTACTTTTAAAAGCATTTTTTCTAACCTTAAGAGGTTGCAGAAAAAAATGCTTTTAAAAGCCTCTGATGATCCCAGGTGAGCCGCGTGATCATCAGAGGTTTTTTTTTACTTTTAAAAGCATTTTTTCGGCCGAAGCGGTTGTAGAAAAAATGCTTTTAAAAGTAAAAAGAAAGCCTCTGATGAGTGCGTGGCTCAGCTGGGCATGGGGGTGGGCAGGGATTTTTGCTACCGATCCTCCGAACCACCCACCGCCATCACTACCGGATCGGTCGATCCAGTCCAAACTGGGAGCATTTCACCCCTGGATACGATGGGGAGGCTTTTGTGGGGCAAGCCTGAGGGAGAGAAGGGGATAGGATAGGAGATGAGTCTAATCATTAATTTTCAAGCTATTTTCAAGCTAATTTTCAAGTTGATTTATCAAGCCTGATCACATAGTTTCATAGGGGAGCATGGTTATTCAGCTAGTAATATATAATATAATATAGCCATTTACTAAGAATATATACTCCTTTTCATATATTGCTTTTATCCTTTCAATTTTTAGGGAATGTACATACTTCCATTGCTGACTTCTGTTCTCCATGATGAATCTCAGTGGGAGAAACCTCATGAATTTTACCCTGAACATTTTCTTGACTCTGAAGGAAAATTTGTGAAGAGGGATGCATTCATGCCATTTTCTGCAGGTAAGATTCTCTGATGTCATAGATTATGTTCTATAAAAAGGCAATCCTTAACACCTTGTTTGAAAAGAAAACAATTGATAAAAGCTGGATCTCATAGACCTTATTTTGACAAAGTTTAGGCCTCATGGACAATATGTGTGGCTAGGCTCATTGAGAGACTACTATGTTGAGGAGAAGGCCTGGCTGGCATCAGGTGATACGGTGTGGATTCTGGGTGTCCAGGAGAACACCGATATCCTAGCCGATTTTGGGGATCCCCAGGGATCATAGCTGTCTTGTGGAGACAGCAAAGAAAGAAGACACTGGCTGGCATGGATAGGGAATGAGCAAGTTCCCTGAAGTGCTGGCATTAGTCTTCGACCTGTCGGCGAAGGAAGGCAGCCATTAAGGAACTGTCACAAGCCAGAACGGCCACGATCTGAAAGAGGAAATGCAATAAATGGTAATTGAATGGAATATTGTCACCGGGTGAGTAATGGGCCAATTCACAAATAAAAGGAAAAAAATCTTTGACAGTTTGAAGAGATTGTAGCGGAGATTGGCGGCTAATTAGCACAGAGATTAAAGTGGAGAGAGAAAAAAAAATAAACCCAGAACTTTAAAAATTAAACCTAAAGCCTGGAAAAAATCTTCCATTTTGAGTTAAAACTGGATTTGGGAGTGGGGGGGATAAGACAAGGTAAAGAAGATAGAAATAAAAACAGAAGAAGAATTTAATTTAAAGAGTGAATGCTTTTGAGTATTGCAAGATGGCTATTTTGTTATGGAAATTGTGAATCGGAGAAACAGCTGCTAGAGGGGGAACTTAAGCGAAGAGAGAGAGAAAAGGAACTGTAAAATCAAACCTAAAGCCCTAAAAGGAATCTACTACCTGGATTTATAATTGGATTTGAAAAAATAAGAATAAGAAAAAGAAAAAGGAGACAGAAAAACTTTTTCTTAAACAATAAAGGATTTAATTTGGAAAAGAGAAAATAAGCATTCCTGTAGATTATAAATTGGATATTTTTTTGCTAGAAGACTAGTGAAGCAGAAAAAGACATCTGTTGGTGGAAGGAGCATGAGAGAGAGGCGTGGGAGTGCATATTGGTGCAGCTGAAGCAAGGTTAAAGAGACAAAGACTAAAACTGTGCTGGCTCAAGTAAATTTTAATGGGTGGTTTCTATTTTAGCTCTTTCGGCCAAATTCTTTAATATTTTTAAATTACCTTTTAACTTTCATATAGTTGTGGGTTTTATTTTTGGCTGTACACTGCCCTGAGTCCTTTGGGAGAAGGGCGGTATAAAAATTTAATAAAAAAAATATTTGAAGTGGACATTATTTCTTTTAAAGAAATATTATATGGACTTTGAATCCTGAAGTATATGTAAATGAAAAGAATAAGCTTAAAAATCCTAGCCTTTTAAAATTGAAAATATGGAGAATTGGGAGGATGAATATGAGACACTAAGGGAGATGTTTCAAAAAATAAGGGAGGCATTTAAGGGAAATAAAGAAGCAAAGGATTGGTTAGATTGCAAAAAAAAAAGAATGAGAAAAGATGAATGAGAAGCAAGAGAAACAAGGAGATAATATTGAAAAGGAAATAATTGAAAAAAAAAGATAAAGATGATTACACTGGGTTCAATAGTGATAGAATAAAAATGGATATGGGAAAATACATCTCAAACATGAAGAGAAGAAAAATAAATGGGGAAAGATTGAGAATGAAAAGTAATAGAGTTAAAATTAAGGGAAAAAGGCTGAGGGGGAGATATAAGAAAAGGAAAAAGAAAAAGGTAAAGAAATGGGAGAAAGGGAGGAAAACATCAAGAAAAAGAATGGTGGAGAGACTAAGAGAAAATGGTTACGAGTCATGAAAACGTTAATTTGTTAATAAAGAGAAGGATGCTAGTTGTAGAAATTGTATGTGAAAATGCTGTTAAATGAAAAATAGTAAATGATATACTTGTAAGAAATAAAGTAGAAAAAATAGATTGTTAAAAGTAAAAAGTCTAAGGATTGGAAGATTGTTTAAGTAAAGATTTAAAAGAAAAAAATGGAATAAGATGAAATATATTGCTAATAATTAAAAAGATGAGGGGAAATTTTGAGAAATATACTTGATAAATGAAAGAAAGACCAGGGTTCCTGGACTCCATAGTGGAAAATATAAAATTAAAAATGAATACAGCAATAGAGAGGGATGAAGGAAGGAGAAGAGAGATGGAAGAAGGAAGGAGAGAGAGGGAAGGAAGAGAAGGGAGGAAGGAAGGGAAGGGAAATTAGAGTAGGAGTGAGGGTAAGAGAGGGAGGAAAAAAGGAGAAGAAGGAGAAAGGAAGGGGAGGTAGGGAGGAGAAGAAGAGGAGGGGAAGAGAAAGTAAGAAGGAAAGAAAGGAGAGAGGTAGTAGGTTTGAGGAGAAAGATTGCTGTACAATAAAAAAGATGAAATGGAAGAATGGCAACTCCGAACAAATATAAGATAAAGAATGAATTGTTTAAAGAATAAAAGAGAATAAATATGAATAAATAGCAATAATTAGAATTTAAGGGCAAATGAAGATGTTGTTTATGTAAGCAAGCATAGAAATATTGAGATATGATAAAAGAAAAGGGGGAAAAAGATTTTGGCAAAAACTGTAATTGAGTAAAATGTATTTGAATTTGATTAATTGTATAAGATAAGATATGGCCAATACTCTGTTCAAAAAAGATGTGGGTAAATGTATGTGTGTGGGGGGGGGGGGGGCAATAAAACTTGTTTAAAAAAAAGAGAGAGAGAGAGACTACTATGTTGATTTCTGAGTCTGCCAGGGGAATCCTCAACTCTGGGCATGAGTTATTGTTATTCCTGCTGCATTCAATGTCAGCATCTCTGCATTTTGGCAGTCCAGGATGAATCTTATCTTTCAGCCTTCTTTGCTGATTGGGGCCTTCAGACAGACACAACTTAGGTCTTCTTAAAAGAAAAGCTTTTCTTAGCATTTCTTAAGCTTTTATTCTTAGGTCATAGCAATGTAGCAGAGTATAAAATGCAAAAAAGCAAAATATAATAGGATAGTTAAAAAAGAGAGAGAGAGAAGGGACTGGATTAAAATTAAACTAGGGCTTCAATTAAGTACATTTAAATTTTTTATTTCTAAGTTTAAATGACAACAAAGCAAAATTAGCATCTTGATTTCTAATGCTTTCAAACCCTTGAGATACAAGCCCTTGAGCTCACTTATTGACTGTAGTTTGGCCCTGATTTCATTGTAAACTGGGCAGTGAAGGACAGAGTGAATAATGTTTTTCCCTTGACAGACCACCCAGGGACAGAGATGCTGTTCAACAGGGTGCTTACCAGTGGTGAGTTGCTCCCGGTTTGCCCCTGTTTGGGCAAATCGGTAGTGGCGGTGGCGGGAAGCTCTACCCATCTACCCAGATGTCATCAAAAATGCTCTGTGCATATGCAGAAGCGCCACACACTCCCAATAGCGAACTGGTAGCGTCGGGATTTGAATCCCACTACTGGTGCTTACCAAATCTTCCTTCAAGTCTGCTGCCAATGGGATGTAAGCAAATTGATAATATTCATAAAATTCTAGGGGAGGCCTCAGAGTTTTAATTGTATAGGTAGTCCTTGATTTACAACCTCAATTGAGCCCACAATTTCTGTTCCTAAGTGATAAATTTGTTAAGTGAGTTTTGCCCCATTTTATGACCTTTCTTGTCAAGTTGTTAAGTGAATCACTGCAATTGTTAAGTTAGAACTGGTTGTTAAGTGAATCTGCCTTCCCCATTGCCTTTCTTTGTCACAAGGTCTCAAAAGGTGACCCAGGCACACTGCAACCATCATAAATATGAGTTAGTTGCCAAGCATTTAAATTTTGACCACATGACCATGGGGATGCTGCAATAGTTGTTAAGTGTGAAAAGTTGTCATGAGTCAATTTTTTCAAGGACATTGTAACTTTGAAGGGTCACTAAATGAACTTTTGTAAATTGAAAATTACCTGCAATGGCACCAGGATGAAAATTTAGGTGACTACACCACAATTGGATATTTATTAGTATCCTTTTCAAAAAGCCTTTCTCTGAAGTTTTCTCTATTCAAAGAACTAGATGCCCTGGAGAGGCCTAAAATTTTCCCCATGAAGTTATTTTTGGATTATGGCCAATGAAGTAATAACCCACTCATCCCAACATGTATCTTGGCTCCATGAATATTTGAAGCACCTTACCCTACAATATTTTAATTGTTCTCTTTGGGAATCAAAAATCTTAAGGATTATACTCAAACCTGTTTTCCATCTGCAAGATTAATCAAATATGGTACCTAGATAGTTGAAAGAGGGGCATTACTGGTTTTGGTATTAATTTTTTGACTTTATTTTCAGATTCAGAAATCTGCTACCATTTATTAGTTGAAAAAATTCTCTGTCTCCATTCCTTTACTGCATTTTTACTTCTTTCCATATCTTTGATCTGTTATCTTTTTTTCTTGTATGCTGATCTCTCTATGACCAAAGAATATTGCGAAATCCTATTGTGAAATAGTTTAAGAAACCAATAAACATAAATCTCTCTCTTTTTTTGGCCATGTATTCTTTCTTCCAGGTCAGAGGGTATGTGCAGGTGAGAACCTTGCCAAAATGGAGCTCTTCCTCTTCTTTACCAACCTCTTGCAGAAATTTACCTTCCATCCACCCCCAGGGACATCTAAAGATGATCTGGACCTGACCCCTGTTGTTGGACTTACCTTCACTCCCATGGCGTACAAGACTTGTGCTGTGTTATGCTGATCTGACACAAAAAACTATAACAAGTTGTTTTTAGTCTTGAATTGTCTTCATTTTGAGAGGCACAATTTAACAAAGAATCCAGTATTGTCTATGTTTCATGTGTTGTTTAGAAGATGAATGGTAATGTAAGAACATAATATTAGTAAAATAAGTAGAATTACTGGGACATAATAATAACTTGCTGTTTTGCTTCTGTAATAATTGCTTTGCTAAGAATTAGAATTGCCTCTGCCATTTGCTCCTTACTTGTTTTTCTGTATCACTCTGCGCCTGGTGGTTATCTCAAGAAGTGGGGTTGCTAAACACCCAGCCCCTCTGTTGCTAAGCACTCAACCCCCCTGTTTCTTGCTGCACTGCCAAAGGAGGGATGGGCAATGGGGCCAGAATTGGGTACTGAACTGATGACTGAAGGTATAAAAACACTCCATACCTTCCCCAGTGTGTGGCTATTCCTCACCTGCATTGTATGTATGTTCTGGATATAGCTTCACCCAGTATTTTGTTTTTGGGCAAAAATAAAATCTGCTTCTTTTTGCAAACCTCATCTTGAATCACACTCTTTTTTGCATCTCAGTGGCTTGGGGAAACTTCTGGGACCCAGCTGCAGCTGACCCAGCATTGTAATGGGCTCCAGGAGGTGAAGGGGATGCCGACTCCCCTGTTGTGAAGTGCGCTAAATTTAACTGTGCTGCAAGAGCAGTGGGCAGGCCATGGAGGCGCCAACAACAGCAACGGAGAGAAACAGCCAGGCCAGTGTCTTGAGGCTGAGAGGAAATCACGTGTTTTCCCAAGAGACCGAGGTGCATGGAGCACTAACAAAGGCCAGAAGAAATGCCTGTAAGACCCAGCAAGAGATGAAGCTTCACTCCCGTCTGCAATATGGAGTGAATCTCCATCCCCCGCCCTTCCCTTCTCAGACCAGGCGAGGAGTGACGGTGAGGGGAGGGAGAGGGGCTGGGCCAGCCACTGGTGGTTTCAGCCAACAGGAAGCCACAGCAGGGGGAAGAAAGAACTGTGGGCTGCTGACATCCGTTGCTTCGGCCTACCTGCACCGCCACCCCCCCTGCACTATTACCTCATTCCGGCCAGCGAGGGCTGTGCTATTCCTTGCATGTTGTATCATCTGCAAAGTTGCAAGTTGCACGTACCTCCCTTTATGGCAGAGATTTTCAGCCCCATCATGAGCTGCCTGGCTGGTCCCATATTCCAGAGTTCTAGTTATAGAACTGGCCATTGGTCACCCCATAGCAGCTCCTCCACCTGAATGTGCTGCGGACCACCAAAATTTTCTCAGTTGGTGACCTCTGGTTTAGAAGATGAATGGTAATAACCTATAAATTCATGAAATGTAGATTCTGATAGGCAAGAATATAATCAGGAAATTCTGATCAAAATATTAACTCTGATAAGAAATGAGATGCAACAATATTCAAGAACTTCCTTTTTCTTGGAAAGGAGCTGTAATTGCTATCTAACAGGAGGAATGACCCAACTTATCCAAAACCATATTGACCCATCTCATTACATAATGTAGATAAAGTGTTTACCACAAGAACACTAAATGTGATTCTAAATAAACTGGTACCAATTGATGAGACTGGGTTCCTAAGGCATACATGAACTATAATGCTTGGGGAGTGAGAATAAGAGTTGGGGATGGTGGGTATTCTAAGGGGAGATGGGACACAGTGACATCATGGTGATGACAAGCATGGGAAGATATGATCAGATACAGCAGGCAGTTCACGCTTGGGGAAGGCTGTCCTGGTTTTTGGTATCATTGTTGCATCCCAGCCCCTTCTGCTTCCCCCCAAAACTTTGCATCCTAGTTTTCATGGCCCCATGTTTTGTTGCTGATTGCCAATGCCAGTTTAATGTGTAATAAGGACGACCTGGCATGCAGTATCAGACCCAGTATCTGTTTAAGAGGATTTATTTACAGATAGTACAACAAAATGTAGCTACACTGCTATGGGAAGTTTATTACAGCATATTAAAGTTAATGCCCTTTCACGTTTGGGGGTAGTTAAACAATATAAATTTATTTATTTATTTATTTATTTATTTATTTATTTATTTATTTATTTATTTATTTATTTATTTATTTATTTATTTTAAATTTATATACCGCCCTTCTCCCTGAGGACTCAGGCCGGTGTACAGCCAGAATTAAAAAACATAAAATACAAACTGATGCAATATTTTCAGGATCAGACTCAATAATAATAATAAGAGTTAGAGGTTTAAATATATTTCTCTTTAATTATAATAGGCATTCTATATTCACTGAATATTCACAGATAGAAGCAAAGAAAATGGTGAAGGTGGCTCCTTATATATACAAAGGGTGGAGCCAAGAGTGGGAGTGGTGAATTATGAATACATTAAGAGTCAAAGAATAAGTTAACCCCTGATATCCCATATATACATTATTTACACATTAGGGAATAAGGCATTTACATCTGACAAATCCCCCTCTAAATGCCGGTTCGCTATACAACACCAATTACATTCAGATTCAGGACAATATAAGACATATAATTTAGAAGTTAAATATTTGTGCTGTTTAGAAGGTAAAGGCTTCGTCAATATGTCAGCTAATTGTTCAGAGGTATCACAATGCACTGCTTTGATAAATCCATCTTGGGACAATTGTCTCACATGCTTAAATTTTATATCTATATGCCTGGATCTTTGTCCTATGGCATCGGATCTAGATATTTCAATGGCTGCTTTATTGTCTTCATGCATAACAAAAGGCAAAGCAGGTTTTTTCCAAACATCTGAAATTAAATCATTAAACCATACAAGGTTATTTGCAGCTTTGGATAAACAAACATATTCCGCTTCTGTGGTTGAAGTGGCTACCAGTTCTTGTTTACCAGTGTACCAGTAAACTGGACAGTCATTTAATAGAAAAATATAACCAGAAGTACTTTTTCTGCATGATATATCTCCAGCCCAATCCGCATCTGCGTAACATGTAAGTTTTGGTTCTTTATTATCACTAGGTTCTAATACTAGGCAAAAATCTAATGTACTTTTCAGATATCTTAAAATTCTTTTGACAGCTTCCCAGTGATACATTGTTGGTTTGCTAACGTGCCTTGATAATAAATTGAGTGGTAATGCAATATCTGGCCTAGTCCAATTAGATATATAAAGAAGTGAACCTATGACTGATCTATAAAATGTATTATCCTTGAATTCAGGGGAAGATTCATCAGTATTTCTAAGGAAATCAGTTTGCATAGGAGTGTCACAGGGTTTGGCATTGTTTAAATTGCATTTGTTTAGAAGTTCAGTAATCTTATCTTTCTGAGTAAGTTTGAATCCCCTTCTAGTTTTGTTAATTTGTACACCAAGGTATTTGTTTACTTTACCTAGAGATTTCAATGAGAAATGTTCATTTAGCTTGTTTACAAAGATTTCTCTTCTCTCTTTGTGTTTTCCTATATATAAAATATCATCTACATAAATCAATACAAATTCAATGTAATCATCACTCTTTTTGACAAAGAAACAGTTATCAGCAGTGGTAGCGTTGAAATCCATGGTCTTAAGTACTTTTACCAAGCAATCGTACCATCTTTTGCCAGATTGCTTTAATCCGTATAAACTCTTGTTCAATAGCCAAATTTCATTTTTATTAGTGTATTGACTGTGGGGTGCTCTTACATATATTTCCTTATCTAGTTTTGCGTGTAGATACGCAGTCTGTATGTCATATTGAAATACATCAAGATTGAGTGCAGATGCTACTACTAGAGCTGTTTTAACACTCTCTGTTCTTACTGTGGGGGAGTACGTGTCAGTATAGTCCTCCGGATATTTTTGTGCATAACCTTGTGCAACCAATCTAGCTTTGTATAGAGTATTGCCTCCTTCTAGGTTCTTAATTTTATAAATCCACCTGGTACCAATAATTGTTTTATCTTTAGGTGCAATCGCAGGTGTGAATACATTTAATCCTTGCAAACTTTCCATCTCTTTTTTCATAGCTAGTTCCCATTTTTCTTTTTCTTCACGAGGGAGTTTTAATACTTCCTCATATGTATTAGGTGTTATTTGTTCACCATCCATATGCATTATGTAATCTCTGTATTTATTTGGTATTTGATTTCTGTTGTTCCTAATAGCTCTTTCAGGTTTGCTATGGTTGTCATGCAAATATCTTGCTTCCTTTTTTGTTAATGTGTCTGTCTTTATTTTGTGTTGACTATTTGTCCATGTTTTGGTTTTGTTTTTATTTTTGTTGATATTTTGATTTTCTATTGTCCCTTTTTCACGAGATTTTGTATCTTTGCATTTATTTGGAAATATTTCATTAAGATGTAATTTAGACCAATTGGCCTGTTCATGGAACACAGCTGTTCTGGAAACTATAAATTTGTTATTATTATCAATGAATCTGTACCCTTTGGTGCCAGTTTCATATCCCATAAATCTTAGTCTTCTGGATACGTTTTCTCCCTTTCTTCTCAACTGTTTAGGTATGTGTACGTCTGCAGTGACCCCAAATATGTGCATGTGTGCTAATTTTGGTTTCCTATTATACATCACCTCATATGGTGTCTTATTCACAATACTGGACCAGGTTCTATTTTGAGTGTAATTTGAATAATGTAAGGCTTCTGACCAAAATTGTTTGCCTAAACCAGCATCCTCTAATGTGCACCTAATCATGGTTTGTAATGTGGAATTCTTTCTCTCTGCAATCCCGTTCTGGAACGCAGAAAATGGACTAGACGTGTAATGTAGCATTCCTCTATCCTTTAACCATTGGGAGAATTCTTTAGACATGAATTCACATCCCCTATCTGTCATAATTTGTTTTATTCTGATATTATGTTGTGTTTCTATGCGTTTGTAAAATTCCTTAAATTTTTGAAAAGTTTCATCCTTGTGTTTTAATGTGTAAACAAAACCATAGCGACTGTAATCGTCTACTATTGTTAGGAAGTAACGTTTTCTATAAGTGATTGATGGAGTTAATGGGCCAACTAAGTCCATGTGTACTAAGTCAAAAATTTTGTTAGTTGATCTGGTGGATTTTTTTGGCTTGGGACTAGTTTTTAGTTTAGTAGATTTACATACTGAGCATTCCAAATAATTTTCACAATTTTTTATTTTGACACCTTCTGCGTGTTCAGTCATTTTTTGTACTACAGGAAAACTTGCATGTCCTAACTTCCTATGTAAGATGTGAGCACACTCATCATGAATTGGTTTACCTATTTTTGGTTTCTTCTCATTGTGTGTATCTGTGTGATCATGAGATATTTTACATTCATCATTGTCACTGTTACTAATATTTTCATCATCTGCCTCAATACAATCTTCCATATTTGAATCAATGTTATGTAACCATCTTTCTTTTGTTATCAGATAGGGTAGGCCTCCTTTAATCATCACAGTGCCTACATTTGTTTTATTCTTCTCTAAAGTTGCTTTTCCCTTTGAGAAAACTATATTGATGTCAGAATCTCTGCTTAGTTTTATGGCACTTAGTATGTTATGAGGTATTTCTGGTATTAACAATAC